TTGACATATTTTTATTTTTATCTCTAATGTTTCTTGTACTGATGTTCATATAAACCGTTCTTTCCTTTGTTGTGCGTCTTTTCGTATTGAACACAATACGAATATTGAACCATAAGAAATCGCAACGATTGGAGACAGAGAGAAAGAGAGAGTAGCTGTTTTGCTTTGATAGTCTTGAGAGACTATCGTTGCGAAGAGAGTTGAGCCAAAGAGTTGAGTTGTTGTTGTTAGTCTGTTGTCTCTTCGTTAGTTTGTCACTGTTAGTCCTAATAAATTGAAATTTCGCGCTTGATCGAAATAAACTTATTTACGTAAAAGAAAGCTAATGATTAATTAATATCCTTTTCCACTTTTCTACTTATGTTATTATGTGTCATTTTAAATTACTACATTTTTTTGGAAAACGAGAAAATTAGAAGTATGCATATATTTTGACTATCAAAAATTATTGCTGTCAATATCATGCTGTCTAATACTAATAATCTGACAATAATTGTTCACGTTATGGAGAATGCGTTTCGAGAGAAAAAAGAGGAAAGAATCTCTTGAGATATCGTCAAGAATAGCGCTCACAAATAATACGGCATATCGTTCGCAAATTGAATCCATTCCCGCTTTAATTTCAGCGGCACAAACAAGATTCCCGTAGGACAATTGCGAGTCACATTGGGCGAATACAATTTAAAGGCCCCAGAAGTGCCGCCCGCAAGACATGAGAGCGTCATAAACGCGGTGTTGCATCCCGGTCACAGGTGCGGCAAGTATGTAGACGATATTGCGCTGTTGGAACTAGCCAGACCGATCACTTGGTCGGAAAGCGTGAAACCCGCATGTTTACCTGTGGCCACAGGGAAACCAGGGTATAGCGCCTTCGGCGGTGAGCACGCCATAGTGGCAGGATGGGGCTGGCTCGGCGAGGATAGATCCACATGTAAGTAAATAATCGCCTCTTCTCTTTCGATGCGCTAATTACGTATACACGACAGAACCGGCCAAGATCATTACGTCGACTCCGCGGCCTTTGACACATCGACGCAAACGCGATCTAAATGATTCCGTTTGGAGTGATCGTGAAGACGTGTCCCGAAATTCCAACCCTCATCACATTATTGCCTAAAAAAATTCCGCATCTCGATGTTCTCCTGCGAGATCTCGCGCGTGTCTTTCGTCGGAGTGATCCGCATAGAAATTTCTCAAGGTTTTTCTGGATATTAGATACAGAGAAGTAGATTCTTTATATGATAGACTTTTCTTTCAGAGAGTGCCCAAATTTATCCCAAAATTAGTTATTTCACTATGATACTAATTAAGAATTCCATGCTTGTTGCAAACATGAGTTTCCAGATGTATCAAAACAGAAGTAACGCAAGAACTCGTTTTTTCTCCTTTTCAGTAAATAAAATCGATATACTTTTGCGAAGTTCTTTTGGGAAGTTCTATAAGAAGATTTTTATTCTGTATATTTTTTTAGACGTGACGAAAACGTGACGTAAAGACAAACACCATTTCGTTTTGTTGAATATAATATATAATAAGTAGAGATACGATAAACTGATGCATTTTAACAATGTTTCATATCGCAACAATGTACATTTGCAGTTTCTCGCATTAGTTTCTTGACGACGAATTGTGGAACCTCGGCGCGGCTGTTCGAACTTTCGCGAGACTTCCTATCGAAATCGAATGCCGACGGTATTCACACACGAGCACCTGAGCTTTTCCGACTTCCGTAGATTATTGGTAATTTGGCATACCTCTTCGGAGAGTATACTGTGGCCGCATTTTGTATGCGTATGAGATCGCATCATGTAACGTGCGTGTAACACATAAATCCTCGTTCACGCGCGGCGAAGATTCTGCTCGATCGTCCGCCAAGTTGCGAATAGCAGGCTCTTCATAAATACTTGAGATATATCGGTAAGCTTGAGGTTTCGATAAATCTTGCCACGATAACGATCGGAGCGACGAAACACACGCCGAAGTTTCCGTAATCACCAAAGTTTCCGCGAGCTCGAAAGGCCGACACGTATACCAATTCACGTGGAATCAATAAAAGTGACCAGAGGGTCATCTTTGGAGGAAAAACAGAACGTAGAGAGCGTATTTCCAAAACAGAAGCGTATTCCAATCTCGGCACTTGTTTCTATCCGCGTTTATTCGCGGGCAACGCAAACCCGACTGCACTTATTATCCGAATTGAATAAACTCAGCTCGGTGAGTTTGCAGAGCTTCTTTCGGATGACGATGTTACTTGCAACGTCAATGAGAAAAGAAATTTTATTTCACTGCTTTTCGTTCTAATCGACCGTTATTCGCGTAAATAGCGTTAATATTTAAAGGCGCGATAAAGTAATGAGCTTTATATAGCTATACGGAGAGAATATTATAGTCTCTTTTCATATAAATTCTTATTAATTTTATGTATGCTTTTAATAGTCCACAAGATTAAACTGTCAGTAAAATCTATCTTACTAAGAAGCATAGCAAATTTCGCTAGCAACATAGCTAGAGTATCTTAATATTGCACTTCTCTCTCTCTCTCTTTCTTTCTTCTAAAATATAAGTAATACATATAAAATAAAAAGACAGTTATTTACTACAGTAATTATTGCAAACCTATCCTTCAGTTATAAAATTTTATAGTAATACTTGCGAAAAAAATTCTCTTTGTGCATTTGAGGTCCAAATTATTTTTGATTTTTCTTCTCAACCGATTCGCAGAAATATCTATTTACCTCGAAAAGTATCACGTGCTTCATTCCAATATTTTCGATGATTATTTCAATATTTTTAATGATTTATAAAAGAATTTGTAGAGGAGTGAAATTTTTAAAAGTGTCATTTTTTCCCGAGAAGCAAAGTATACATGTTGCAACGTTCGGAGGAATTAGGTTTCAAAGGGTTAAAGCGGCTCGCGTATTTTGCCTCGGAGCGACTGGACGGCAAACACGGACGATGGCAATTTCTGTGAAAACTGGTCGTGACGTGATATCGAAACGTTTCGTTGTTGCGTTATGTTCCAGACAAGAGAGCGGACGTGTTGCAGAAAGTGGAGGTCCGCGTGGTCGCGAACACTGTGTGTAGCGAATGGTACGCGAGTCAGGGCAAGTCGACTCGCGTGGGCTCGACGCAAATGTGCGCCGGCTACGAGGAAGGAGGAAGGGATTCCTGCTGGGTAAGTGAAGAGCACCCATCGGGAGTTGCACCTACGAGTGGTGCAAAACGTCCGTTGAGCGTCGTATTTTTGCATTCGCGCATCGCTGCTCGCTCAGCGCCGCTTGTCAATCGCCCGATCACGGAATTCACGGTTCACCGGCCGGGCACGACGCGAATTTCAATAAATATCCGCGGCACCGTGGTAATGCGCGTACAATGCTGCTCAGGCATGATAGTCGACCATGTCGGATGATAGCGGTCCCCGATAATTGGATTGTATATAATTGCATTAGCTCCTCATTCCCCGGGCCTGAAAGTCTCGCTGATCGTTGCAAGAATGTAATAATTGAAAAAAAATCTCCGTAATATATTACATGTAAATAACTAGTGATTACGTGCAAAAATGAAACAATTATTCGTTATTCCTCCTTTTTTTATAACTTATATGTGTCCGCGAATGAAAGTTTCTTTTTCATCTCGTCAACGTAATTCCTTTTGCCAGTGTTGTCAAGTAGCGACATTCTCGATTCGCCGAGGTCAGGGCTGCTCGTGGAACTGCACGAGTACCATTACACATATATGTTTTTAATATCGTTTTTATCATATAACTTCCAACGTTCTAATTTACTTTTGAGCGTAAAAGTTACGCTTTTTGTGCGCTGTGAAATGGATGTCAGAGGACAGTTACGTTTTTATAAGCCAGTCACGTTTTGCTTTTTGTTTTCTCACCCTACGTAAGGATGGACAGCGCGACTTTCTTGCTACGCGAGCATTAAGTTCATATGGTCAATTAAACTAACGGTAGTTCCTGCGAAAGCAACTCCCACGGGACTTCCGCTACGGTGTTACGAGAGTCCATCGGAACAAAAATGAAAGTACCACCCTCGATCTTGTCCCCGATAAGTTTCCCTCGCGTTTCCGTCGCGTCCTTATCAGCGATTTCTATTTCCCGTAGTCAGAGATATTCCCGGGAAAACAATCGAGAACGAACGTATTGCTTCGAAATATATCAAGGAGGAAGAGAATACCGAAAGAGAGCACAATATCGTTGAAGGTTCCACTGGGAATTGAGATGTGCTGGATTTCCTATTTGCCTCGTTTGCACTTGCTCGCGAGAGCTATGGCGAGCCAGCAACCATCAAAATTGATTTCGATACATTTTATATTGGACATAACGCGATTGTGAGAAATAAAAAAAATTTTACATTAATACACTTAGGGAAATCGATTTCCTCGATTCTCATGAATATTTTTTAATATGTACTGCAATCTCGACCGAGAGGACCGAGAGATCTCTTCTTCTCGATATAAATCTCTTCTCCAAAATCAGTGGTCTCTCAAAAATTGAACAATTCGTAGGAAATGTCTTTTTATTATCTCTTGTAGAGACAGAAGTATAATTTATCGATCGTGGGAACTATTTTGGCGATATTAACGCGTGAAATAAACCGGGCAACGTCGCGCGCCGGTAAAAGCCTGTTTCCATCTTGAGAATTTCCAGCGGCGAGATTTATGATCCGGATCCACGCACGGAACGATACCGGGACTCACTATAATGGATACTCCCGCGGCCCTACACGCTCCATATTAGAGCAAGTGGAATTTTCACCGCATCGTTTACCATAACCACGGAAGCTTACAGGATGCGCGGAGACGACTGTACATCCTGCACTTTATTTCAGGCCGACAGCGGCGGGCCTTTGATAGTCGGAAGTCGTCCTGGCGGTAGCGCAATGGTCGTAGGAGTGGTCTCCACCGGTATAGGCTGTAGCAGACCGCGACTTCCTGGCATTTACACGCGTACCTCGGACTACATTTCTTGGATCACGAAAGAGGTGCAGTCTCGCCGGTGAACTGCGACGTAGAAGACGTGTGAGCGCGATGTTACATCGACGTCCCGGGCCCTTCGCCTTCTCCATCCTAGTCGCGAATTTGCTCGCACTCACTATTGCACATCGATGCGCCCGGCCGAATTCCCTCCGAGATGATTTGACTGCGATAACGATAGATATATAACTAATTCGTGTTGGCGATTTTTTTTTACCTGTCCTAAACCCAGATTACACAGTTCCGGCTGTATAATATAAGTGGAGGAAAAGAGTCGGTTAACTGTCAGCTTTAATTGACAACTAGTCTAGTAACATGTATAGATCTCGAAATACTAATTTTGTAGCATGTTATACGACGATGTCATCAGTATTTTGATGCGCACGTTCGAAAAATATGCTTGTTTCTTTTTTATTTTATAATAATTTAATTATTTGTTTATGTTAATATGACGAGAGACGTACCAATTGTTGGAACGCTCGAGATATACCCTTATTATATAGTATTACTGCCCGCAGCTTTTATTTCCGAGACCAATAACAGAAATATTTTGTATAAGACAGAGAAGAGACAGCGTGATATATAGTTTCAATTATTAATTAATTTGATGAAAATAGTCGATTAAAAGAAGCAATTCTTGACAAAGTATCGTGTCATACGATCATTTTTACGAGACGAAGATAATTAGAAATCTATAGAAATACGAATGTATTAATCATTTCCGTTGTTGTCATGTTAAAAGAAAACGTTCTGAGAGAGAACTATTCAAAGATTTAAAAAAAATTTTGAAACATTAACATGTCATATCAAAATATACCTACAATCGTGGACACTTTAGCGTAGAATTTCTCCATCAGGACACGATAATAAATGTACTTGACGCATAATTATTATTCGATGGAGTAAAATGCATCCCGGAGATGAACAAAAACGATTATAGAGTTATTTCCGGATGAACAGAATTCAATAATTCAATAATTAACGACTGTTCGTCAAAAAATATATGCGTGTAGATGGTCATGTGTGAATTTCTACAATATACTATCATGTGTGAATTTCTACAATATAATATCGCAAAATTGTACGACATTATATTATTATCACCCATTTAAAATAAAAGCATGGACATGAGAAAGACAGATGTGACAAATTTGAAAAATTTCATTTATGTTCCATAAAAATCTATACGTATACATACGTGTGCTAATTTATGCACGTTGTATTCAATAAAGCAAAAGTGTAATGTGTGGAATTATCTGGAAAGTAAAAATTGATTCTGTTATGTAGCTGCGAATAATAATTGGGAGAATAATTTATACATGTAGAAAAATTCTATCTCTTTTGAGAAAAATATTTCAGCTAGTCATATTTATAGAAAATGAGAGAAGAAAAATCAAAGATATACCTCACATTAGTATAAAATATTAAATAACGTTATTATTATTATTATACTATATTATTATTGTATTATTATATACTGTATTATATATTGTATTATTATTGTAATTATTATATTACTATATTGTATTGTAATTATTATACTATAAATTATACTGTTAATTATACTGTTTTATTATTATAATTATTGTACTATAAAAATATTTTTTTTTTAAAGCAATATTCTTTCATATCAATATTTGAGAACAATTATACATTATAAATAAAAATAAATTTTACATATACGATAAATCAATGTGTATCACAGAGTTTTACTCATAAAACCAATCTATATGTTAATAAAAAAAATTCCAGCAATATCTCTCCATTAATTAAATTAAATCTTAATGGATAAAAGTATCATTTAATTTTATATCTAGTAAGATTGCATGGAAATATAAAATGATACACGTTGAATTTCACAATATATATTAGAACATTTGATTTTAAGATTTACAGTTAATAATACTCACAATACTAACTATACCCTTCTTTGTTTTCGTGCTCTTGGTGGATTCCAACTTACTCTAGTATCGTCTGTCACCGAAACAATGTTTAATCCTGTCATATGAAGACCTTTTATAGAAGACTAAAAACCAAGAAAAATACTCAATATTAGAATTATTATTAGTTATTACATTAATATATATAAACAAAGAATAATGCTTTCGAAATACCATTCTGCCTGCTCCAATTCCTTGTACTCGAATTCTCACAGTATTTATGCCATATTCACGAATACGCTGAATAATAAATATATACTTATTAAATATATATATATAATTACATTATATCTAATTACACACACATGTCTCCTCTGTAGCATATCTTATCTTATATATTTAATTTTAATAATACATATACAACTTATACTCACATTACCAAACGTTATAGCAGCTTGTTGAGCAGCAATGTTTGTTCCTTTTCTAGCATTCTTAAAACCTTCGATACCAGATGAATGCAATGTAATTGCTTTACCTTTGTAATCAGTAAAATTCATGATTGTATTATTAGGAGTTGATTTAATGTTAATAATATGCAATTCCTTATATGGTACACCATTAAAAAGTCGATTTGGCGTGTCCTCATCAGGAAATAGATTTTCTCTGAAACATTGACAAAATACTTTTCCAGTGGCTTCTGCTGAAGGTATAACTACTACTAAGCTATTGCTAGAACATACTGCTGATTAATGTCCATCAGTTCAGGGGTAGTCTCTCCCGCTATTAATCCATATTTGCTGGATTTGCCAACCCTTGATTTCTCGTCCTTTGTTCGAATTTCTTTGTTGCAGAGTAAAGTAGTGCAAATGCTTCTTGAGGTTATGACATTCAAACGAATGTAAGTCGCCACACCATTAGCCAATACGCTTTCTGACAATAAAGGATAATTAATCAACCGTAAAGCAGACTTAATCATTTCGGCTGATCCGTTAAATGATATTTAATAGCTCACGATAAATGAAATACAACAGCGAAACAAATGCATAAACTGTCACGAATAACTTGTAGCGCTAAGCTATTGCCATCTCTGCGTCTCTCGCGGCATTACGAAGAACACGATACCGACAAAGTCTAACACCAAAGAGAAGTCTAAGGGCCGGTTTTTCCAACCTCTTGCTAAGCTAACTGTTAACACATACATCTGTCTTTGTTCCTCCTTTAAATTAGATAGAAACAGACATAAGATTTAATTGTTAGTTAGCTTAGCAAGAGGTTGGATAAACCGACCCTAAGAGAGGCAACCAACTTGATTTTAGTGGCCAAAGCTAGGCGCATTTTCGAGACGCCATCTAACAAAGTGCGTCTTTACTACGTTCGTTAGGCGCATTTTTACGGTGGTAACAATAAAATGCGCCTGGTTCGTGCAATCAATCATGAATTTTACTGATTACAAGGGTAAAATAGTTATATTCATCCGGTGTCGAAGGTTTTAAAAAAAAAGCAACAAACATTGCTGCTCAACAAGCTGCTGTAATGTTGTGAGTATAAGTTATATATGTGTTATTTAAATTAAATATATAAGATAGGATATGCTACAAAGGAGACATGTGTGTGTAATTAGATATAATGTAAATATATATATGTATATATACGTCTCCGCTGAGGTCGTGATTGAGCGGCGCTGAGGGCAGGGAGAGGGCGAGCGGGAGGGGGGGCGACGCGCAGCC